CTACACACTCATACACTACAGACAATTTAATTCATCCAATTCATTTATAGCACATGTCTTTGGACTGTGGGGGAAATCGGAGCACCCGGAGGAAACCCACACCAACATGAGGAGAACATGCAAACTCCACACAGAAATCCCAACTGACCCAGCCAGGACTCGAACCAGCGACCTTCTTGCTGTTCCGTGACACTGAGACACTGTGTTGCCCAATCAACATTCAAAAATAATGTAATTTTTTGTTTTACAACTTCCTAATTCTAAAACATGTAATAAAATGTGCTTAATTTGTCATGTTATGTAAAAAAAAAGCCCTGTGTTACGCTATGTCATGTTCACCACGTAACATTGAAAGGAAATTAATAACCACTGCATGCTGCTATGCTTTAGAACCATAACGTAAAGATAACAAAGTGGCATGAAATTAGATAGCAGATTAGATTGCTGTTTTGACCAGTTGTGATAAGCACAGCCTTTTACAGAGCCCTGGGAGTTTTAAAGCTTTTAGACTTAAAGTGGTTATCGTGCAGTCCAATCTCCGGCGGTTAAATAGCCTGTCAGAGAGAGTTACTGCAGTGCTGGAGTGACATTATTCTGGGATGAAATGAGAGAGGGAAGACCCCAGCCTTTGTAGGACAGCATTAGGAGGACACGTATGCTTACGTGCGCACACACACACACATAACATGCCTCATCTGGTCTCCCGGTGGGCTGTGCAAGGGCTCAGCTGTTGTTCAAGCAGAGGAGTTTCTTATTATCTCACACAGACACACACACACAAACACACACACACACATATATATATATATATTTAGTTTACGAGGATTCTCCATTAACATTTATTGTACTTTATACTGTAAAAACTGCTCATTGTGGCACAGTGGCTGAGTGGTTAGCACTGTCGCTTGACAGAAAGAAGGTCGCTGGTTCGATTCCCGACTGGGCCAGTTGGCATTTCTGTGTGGAGTTTGCATGTTCTCCCTGTGTTCACATAGGTTTCCTCCAGGTGCTCCGGTTTCCTGCACAGGAGACCCATGCCAACAAGGGGAGAGCATGCAAACCTCACACAGAAATGCCAAGTGACTCTGCCGGGACTCGAACCAGCGACCTTCTTGTTGTGAAGCAACGGTGCTAGAAATTCTTCACTTTTATAATGCTGTTGTAGTGGTCAGCATAATGGTTTTAAAGGTTCTCCAATAAAAAATAGCCATGGTGTTCTGGGTGGTTGTATGAATGTTGTTCGGTGGTTGCCGTTGGCATTGCTGTGGTTACTAGGGCATTTCTTTGCTGGTTATTAGGTGGTTGTTATGGTTTTGTGTCACCACAGGTTGGAGTCTAGGTTGTTGCTAGGGTGTCCTTGGTTGTTACTTATGTGTTGTTAGAGACGACAATAGTTATCAGCCAATATACTGTAATTATTCTGCATGTTCTTGATGTACATTGTTCAACATGCATTCCAGCAGCATGCAAGATCAAGTGATGAGAAATGTTAATGTTGTGCACAGAAAAATATGTCCTCATGTGAAATACAGAGGGAAGGCGCAGTTCTGAGGCTCTGTGGGTTGTTCTGGCTCAATCCCAACCATATGGGACCACTGTAGATCTGAAACTAGCAGAGTCATTCAGCGACTCCTTAGGGGACAAATACTAAACAGTTGCACTCTGGTATTTGAGAAAATACATATTCGAGTTCTCCTTTTTGAGCTTTGATGTTCACATCACAGTGTTTAACCCTCCTATTGTTTTATACACTATTCACCCTTTGGGTCAAAAATGAGCCGCCATCACTAAACCTCCAAAATAAAACATTTGAATTCAATTTCAATCCTTAAATCTGTAAAACAGGGGGTGATGCGGTGGCGCAGTGGGTAGCACGTTTGCCTCACAGCAAGAAGGTCGCTGGTTCGAGCCTTGGCTGGGTCTGTTTCTGTGTGAAGTTTGCATGTTCTCTCTGTGTTCGCGTGGGTTTCCTCCGGTTTCCACCGTCCAAAGACATGCGGTACAGGTGAATTGGGTAGGATAAAATTGACCGTAATATATGAGTGTGTGTGTGGATGAGTGTGTATGGATGTTTCCCAGGGATGGGTGGCGGCTGGAAGGGCATCCGCTGCGTAAAACATATGCTGGATAAATTGGCGGTTCATTCCGCTGTGGCGACCCCAGATTAATAAAGGGACTAAGTTGAAAAGATAATGAATGAATGAAATCTGTAAAGCAAACTCATTATTCATCACAATTTTGGGAATGCTAAGTTTTCTCTCATCAGTGTAGGGTATGGTATCAATGTTTAATCAGAGGACATCACTTATTTTTGACTAAAGTAAAGGGTATATTTTCTAATGTTAAGATGGATAAATGTAAAAATCTTTTAGCAAGTGTCCAAAAAGTTGATGTGTGTTAGAATGTGCCAGTGATGTAAACATGATTTTATAGCTGGCACATTCTAACACACACCAACTTTTTGGACACTTGCTAAAAGGTTTTTACATTTATGCTTTTAAAGTGTGCATGGTTTAATGTTTTGTTCCAACACTACTTTTATATGTAATGTTTTGGTGAATTATTGAATAATTTAATTGAATTCTTGCAATTTTATTTGACATTTTTGTACAGTCAGCAATGCTGGTTATATTTATGGATAGCAATCAATGCATTTTTTTTTTTCTTTAAAATTGGATCAGCCTGATCTCGAGGAAACCTAACTATTTTATATTTTGTCAGTTTAGTGACTAATTTGTTTTTATGAGTTCAGTCTCACCAACCTCCACCCCTAAACCCAACCATCATTGGGGGAGGAGCAAATCATACTACATTGATCATTTTTTAAAATTTTTATTGTTTGAGTCCCATTTAATTAAAAGAGAGTTTCGGCCCTGAGTTTTGGTTCCTGTTTGCACCAATTATATATATATATATATATATATATATATATATATATATATATATATATATATATATATATATATATATATATATATATATATATATATAATATTTAATATATATTTGTACAAAATACATATAAAAATGAATTGAGCCAGCGGTTTGCTATTGTTGTTGTTTAAACTCGGACCACAAATTTGTTCTGGGCCTGTGTTTGTTTGCAATTTGGGTTTTGCCCTCAAACAAAACATATCATATCAGATGGAAAATGTTACATCTTATTTGTTATGTGTATTAAATCCCAGTAATTAGGTCAGTAGGCAGAGAGGAAGTGTGCTTTAGTGGCAGTTTAAATGCATTCAACTGCATGAGTGTCTACACACCATAAAGCAATTCAGTCAAATGCATTTGTCTCTTGAAGAGGTTTAAAAGTCTTCAAGCTCCACATAGTTCAGACCCCATTTGCATTTATTGTCTTTTTGACATGTTATTGGATTGACATATAATACTAAGTTTAAACACACTTTGGGAATCTTTATAAGCAGTGTTAGTCCTCTATAAAATATCAGCTAATGTTTAATATGAAGAAACTGTGCATTGGTGAGTTATATTTATGGATGACAATTAATGCATTTTTATCTTTAAAATTGTGCAAATTGTACACATTCATATGAATTAACTCTTGAAACCCCCATAAATTGGGCTGGATGCTCATGTTCAAAGGATAGTTCATTTAAACATTATTATTACCTCATTATTTGTGCTCTCTTGTGTAGTTTTAAACCTGTATGGGGATCTTTCTTCTGTGCTCCATTCAAAAGAAGATATTTTGAAGAATGCTGAATAATTGCACTCTATGACTTCCATAGAATGAAAAATCTATTTCTATTAAAGTCAATGAGTCCCAGCAACCAGCGTTCTTCAAAATATCTTCTTTTTTGATCAAAAGAAGAAGGAAAACTCAAGAAAGAATAAGTAAAGGGTTGGTAAATGATGGCAGAATTTCATTTTTGTGTGAACTGTCCCTTTAAGAGTCTCAACCCTGTTCCTGGAGGCACACCCACAGTACATATTTTGGATGTCTCTCTTATCTGCCCCATTAACTTCAGGTTTTGGAGTCTCTTCTAATGTTCTGATGAGTCGATTCAGGTGTGTTTGATTAGGGAGTGCTTGAAAATGAATATTGTTGGTGTGACTTCAGGAGCAGGGTTTGGAAACACTGCTCTAGAGTCTATATGTTGTAGAACAAATGACTTCAACACAGTGAAAATCCGTCATACGCTTTTATAGGCAATTTAAGACGAAAAAGAAACTTGTCCGACTGATTTGCAAGAAAGATTTAGTTTTCACACAGTTTCTCACATCTGGCACGACAACAGCTAAACTGTAAATACATGATGGACACCAGAAAACAGCTTGAATAACGTCTGCCAGATAGCAGAGGGCAGTTACTGTACACTGTAAAAAAAACATCTGTTCATTAACAGTTTACTTATTTGTGATTCACAAGCAGTGGCAAGATTTAAGCATGGGCAATATGGGTGATCGCCCAGGGCGGCATCTTGTTGGGGCGGCAAAGGGGGTGCTACTACCTTCCCCTCCCCCCTTTCCCTACCCCCTCTCCTCTCTTTCGTACGTGAGACACCATCCTCACTCAACACATTTGTCTAGAGCGCCAGTTCAGCTTGCTCCAGTACTGTTCACAAGTGTTCCATTTATTTGAATTGTGTTATCTCAGCAGACACACAACGTCATAAGATGCTAAAATTAGGTTAGATTTTGGTCGTGACGTCAGGTGACCAAAATTCAATGTCTAGACACCTTGTAAGGACAACATTATTTTGACGTTCAATAATAACATCAAATGATGTTTGTGTTTGGTTGATTTTAGTTTGTGTTGGAAAGTGACCAAAATATAACGTTAAACCAACGTCATATTGGTCAATTACTGACATTTATTCATCAGGTATGGCAGCCAAAATCCAGCGTCTGATAGACTTCATAGTGGTAATGTCCATCTGACGTCGAGCTGTAACATCATTAGTCGTTGATATTTGGCTGATTTTAGGTTGTGTTAGAAAGTGACCTAAATCCAGCGTCGAGCCAACATCTTAAACCAACATGATATTGACGTCAAATAGTGACATTTATTCGTCAAGTATGGTAACCAAAATTCAACGTCTGATATACGTCATAGTGGTGAAGTCCACATGTCAAGTAACATCATTAGACGTTGATATTTAATTGATTTTAGGTTGTGTTGGAAAGTAACCAATCTAGCGTCGAGACAACATCTTAAACCAACATCATATTGACGTCAAATACTGTCATTTATTTCTCAAGTACGGTGACCAAATGTCAACGTCTGATGAGTTCATAGTGGTAACGTCCACACAACGTCAAGCTGTAATATCACTATATGTTGATATTTGATTGCTTTTAGGTTGGACGTTATACATTGACGTCTGGTTTTTTACATCGACCCGATTTTCATTTCTAAACAAAATGCAATGGCCCCATGACGTTGGACTACAACATCAATCTGACGTCCTGTTGGCGTTCTGTGCCTGCTGGGATGGGGCCTTGATCTCCGCTCTGTCATCTTTTGATGTTGAAAATTTAATTCTACAGTTTAACAAAGTGGTTTTTATTGTCATTTTAGTAGTTTAAAACAATAATATAACGTATAAGAGATAATATATGCAGAAATAAGTCTGTAAAATAACTGAAAATGTACTGTCAGTTTATCACAATGTTTTTGTACCTTAATATACAACACCAACCCGGACGACATATCACTTTAAACTATTAAAAATGTTATTAAAAGTCACTTTTTCAAACATTTCAAGGTTAAAAGTTGTTAGAAGAAAGATTAAGGTCCCATAATGCAATTCAAAAGCATAAATAAACAAAGAAAAATAAAAACATGAATCACAAAATATGAAAAACTGTTAATTTACAGATATTTTTTACAGTGTAGTCTCGCAGATGATCAGCTCATGTCCGACAGTTCGGCAGTCCAGTTCTCTTCATATTGCTTTCCTCTTATTAAATGTGAACCAGCAGGATTTTACTCTCCCTCCCAAAAAAGGCCACTTCTGGAGTGCTGCGGCTCACTGTGATTCAGCCAGACGGTAATGGGAAGTGGCAGTAGAGATATGAGGGCTTCTTCTGTGCTGTTTGAAGGTGAGTTCAGTCCTATTTTGTTTAGCAGAAAGGTTAACGGCGTCTGTTTCTATTGGTCATCGGTCGTAGGCACTGCGTGGATCTCCCTGAAGCCTGCAGAAACCACACGTTTTGAGACACTTCAAATGTGACAGATGAAATCAAGCAGTTTACTTACACACACACATGCTCAATATTGAGGTAAAGTTGGTGTTAAATTCACACATTCAGACTTTTTCTTTTATTTTTCAGATATTTGCAGAATCTTATTAGTAAAACCATATCGACTATCACAGTACAACAGTCCCAGTCAAATAAATAGTGCTGATGTTGTTTTCAAGTCATACTTAGCCTACATGTGATTTCAGACTGAATATTCAAAGTACCCTGGTAAACAATACAGGGAGCATGTCACAAGTTGTCACTAAACGAATGTGCGACTATAAAAATCATCTTTATGCTCAAGTGAGAGGCAAACACATCTTTCGGGCTGAAGGACATTTACGCCGCCTACTTGAGTATTATAGTGTCTCTCTGTCGCCATTATCTCACTGTCCTTTTCAGTCGACCTCTGTCTCTGGCTAATTAATAAAGTGAAGCTGACACAGATGATATAAAACAGGTACTATATCACTCAAGAGCGAGTGTGAGAGGACTGGAGGAGGTTATTAACACACGGTGAGAAGGAAAACACCTAATATGAATATGGTCCTAAATCGCTACAGTATTACAACAATGCCAAAAGGTTTACTGCAAAAAAAAACTATATCTTCAGAGATACAATCTTATTTCTGTAACACTTTAGAATAATGGTCTATTAGTTACTGTTAGTTAACATTTACTAATATTAATATTAAAAATTAATTAATATTACTTTTATGACAAGGCAGTAGAGCTGGTATTGGATTACATTTAGATTACTTTCAAAGCAATGCAATTGAACTACTTTTGGATTACATTTAAATTACTTTTATGGCAGTGAAATTGGACTATTTTTGGATTACATTTAGATTACTTTTATGGCAGTGCAAATGAACTACTTTTGGATTACATTTAGATTATTTGTATGGCATTGCAAATGAACTACTTTTAGATTACTTTTATGGCAATGCAATTGAATTACTTTTGGACTAAATTTAGATTACTTTTATGGCAATACATTTGGACTACTTTTGGATTACATTTAGATTACTTTTATGGCAATGCAATTGAGCTACTTTTGGATTACATTTAGATTACTTTTATGGCAATGCAATTGAGCTACTTTTGGATTACGTTTAGATTACTTTTATGGCAATGCAATTGAGCTACTTTTGGATTACATTTAGATTACTTTTATGGCAATGCAATTGAGCTACTTTTGGATTACATTTAGATTACTTTTATGGCAATGCAATTGAGCTACTTTTGTATTACATTTAGATTACTTTTATGGCAATGCAATTGAACTACTTTTGAAATACGTTTACATTACTTTTATGGCAATGCAATTGAGCTACTTTTGGATTACATTTAGATTACTTTTATGGCAATGCAATTGAGCTACTTTTGTATTACATTTAGATTACTTTTATGGCAATGCAATTGAGCTACTTTTGTATTACATTTAGATTACTTTTATGGCAATGCAATTGAACTACTTTTGAAATACGTTTACATTACTTTCATGGCAATGCAATTGGACTACTTTTGGATTACATTTAGATTATTTTTATGGCAATGCAATTAAACTACTTTTGGATTACATTTAGATTATTACTTGTACTTTAGTGACTGCATTTGTTATTGTAGTAAGCTTCATTTTGAGAAGCAACAAGTAATAATTTTGTGTTGTAACTACTGTCAAGTCTTAATTTGAATATGGACAATATGCACAGTAGGCTATATGTGATCCTGATTTAATTTTACAATAATCTTATTTTAGGTTTAAATTATCTGTCATTAATTAAGAGGAATTCACCTGCTTAGCAACTGTAGTTTTAAGACCTTTTAAAAAATATGAGAAGCAATTAATTAAAAGTAATTAACAAGGTAGTTTAGGAAAATTAGGACTAAATGTATTGCTTGCTATTTATTTTAAGACATTCATTTCTTTACAAAATCCCTGGTATGTTTCCCTATTTCAGGAAATCTTAACAAATAGAATTATCTTATTCCACTGGCAGAATATTTGACTTGATCTAGCCTGTATCTTCATTTAGATGGTAGTTTTTGTTTTGTTTTTTGCAGTGAATTTAAGAATTGAGGCAGAATTTGAAGCCTTCATGGTTCAGTAAACAACAACTGTTTTGTATATAAGTCAATAAAAAGGTATTCATTTATGCTTGTGTTTATATTCTAACAGGAAAAATGATTATACTGTACAACTGAAGGGAGTAATTTGAGCAGGAAATGGATCCCACACCAATCAATCTGGCACTAACGGATTCCTCTAAAAGGTATATATATGGTGACTTGAAAATCGATATCATGTCATGAAAAATACAAATAATAGTATAATAAAACAACAGTGTAATTGTAGACAAAAACCTGGATTTTGATTTCACAATTCAGCACATTTTCAAGACAGCAGGGTGGAAACTAAACATAAAAATTACTGTAAATTTTTAGAAAGCCTTTATAAAAGGTAAAACTTTAGTTTAGGTACCAATTCCCACTATTTACTCCTGGCTTATTACATGAATTTTAATAAAATATTAGGTGTTTATTAGTACTTAAGTATGATCTTATTTTTTATCAATAATCCCACCCTACCTAAACCAAACTCATATCTTAAAAACTAATAATAAACAACAAATTAGAAGTTTATAGAGATAATCGATAGTTAATGATTTGATAATAGCAAAAATGGTACCTTAAAAAGTGTGACCGTATAAAATAAATTCCATTCTAATATCAGTTTCTTAAAAGTGTTTGTCTCAGCACCAATTACCATATTACTATAATAACCAATTACTATAATTGCTGTTAAGTAAGGAATAATGTACATCCAGCTGGTTATTCTTGAATAATAAAGCCTGACAGGCTTGTCAGCAAGCTATTGTATAAAACTGAAGACTTTAATTGTAGTACAAAGCTAAGCTTGCGTTATTGGTTTAACCATGATTGACCAATCAGAATTGAGTAATGCAGAGAGCTGTGTAATAATCCATAATATTAGCTGTGTAAAAGATATCCACCGATTAAACTAATTAAACTAACACAAGCTCACCCAGGTAGTATATAAATATTTATCTGTCACTCTGCTGTTCGCAACAGTTTGGCGCCTCTGACTGAATAATAATTCTATGTAATAATATTATTTGTATTTTTATGATCATTTGTTGAACAGAAAGTCATTCATCGGTGTCATTAAAAAAACAACAACAACCTCAAACTCAATATAAACTGCAGCTCTGATGAATCTGGTTCGTATAAAAGCAGAAGAGCTTTTTTGTCCATTCATTACAATCTGAGATTTGTTTCTGTGCAATAACAGTCTATTAACCTAATGTGAAATCCATTTGAGGTTGGAACAAAAGTATTTATTATTGTTCTGCAGGGCAAAAGGCTTTTCATTTACAAATCAATACTGCACATTACATATTTTACTCACTGTAATATTTGCTCTTTGTTGCATTTTAGAATAAAAAAGTCAACATATCCATTACTGACAAAAGAAAACAACAAATATATATTTAAACATTCAAAGCTATATTTAAAATTCCTGTTATTTCGCATTAAAGGCAACAAGTAACTTCTTGAGCAGCAAATCCACATATTAAAATTATTTCTGAAGGATGATGTGGCACTTTGCCATCAAAGTTACAGACTGTTTTCTTTAAAAAACTTTAAAACATTAGACTCCAAATTTTTGAACGATAATGTAAAGGATGTGTGATGCACAGCTGCAGAATTAATACTATTCTTTAGTTTAACCAGCACTTTCGAGGTTGATTTTAAATACAAATCTCATTTTAACATACAAAGCATTATGGATCTGCACCTGAGTATCTTTGCTTTCTTTTAAGCGCATGAACTCCATCTCGATCACTCTACTCTTCCTGTTCTCTACTACTCCATCAACCTCCTTGCATCAACTTCCTTTTAATATTCGATACGCACCAAATTTGGATCACTTTAAAAAGTAGATACATATATTCAGGCTTGTTTTTAATTGATGGTGTATTTTATTTTGTTTTTGTGTGTAATTTTTACTGCGGTGCTTTGGGTTTGAGAAAAATAAGTTCTAAATAAAATTAACTAGATTAATTAGGCAGGTTAGGGTAATTAGTGAAGTTGTTGTATTAGGATGGTTTGTACACAATCAAAAAAATAATAATATTGACCTGAAAATGTCTTTTAAAAAATTAAAAACTGCTTTTATTCTAGCCGAAATAAAACAAAGAAGACTTTCTCCAGAAGAAAAAATATTATAGGAAACACTGTTCACAGGACGGCTAAACATTTTGACTTAATTAATTTAATTCATGTAAATTGGCTACTTCATTTTCAACTGTATACTAAAAACAACCACAATAACAATGTGCAGCAGTAACATTTCCAGAAAATGAAACCGATTTACCTTCTGAATCCTGTAGCCTTCGCTGTTTTGGAGAACGTCACAAGCGTGGCTCGGTTTGTCTAATCAGCCTAATATGTGTTGTCAGAAAACTCTTGTGGACAAGCGTCTGTGTTGTTTCCCTAAAAGAGACCGAAAAAGGAAGTTAACTTTGTTGAAGAAGTATTAAAACATGGCTTTAGGAAAGAGTTAATGGATTCGTGTTAGGATGCAGATGTCAGCCTGAATTTTGAGAGGTGTCATGCAACCCACAGCAAGCTTTCTCTTTTAACACCTCACATATGACAGAGAGCGAATGTGAGAGTCACACACACACTCACACACACACGCTCTATAATAAGAAATCATCCTTCACAGCTGATCATACACAAATGGTTTCTTGTCACGGGATTGCTTGAATATTTCAAAAAGACTGAAAAAACTGTTTAAAGATTTGAGTATGGAGGGAATATTAAAGGAATAGTTTTTACAAAAATGAAGCAACTGGATTTATTCAGCCTCAAGTTGTTTCAAAGCTGTATGAATTTCTCTTTACTGCTGAACATAAAAGAAGATATTTTGAGAATGTGGATAAGTAAACGCTTTCTGCTCCCTACTGATAAAATTAGTTTATTTGCATGCTATGGAAGTCAGTGGAGAGCAACAACTGTACGCTCTGAGGGTGAGTAAGATTATTATTAGTGTGGTATTTTAGTTTGAAATGCATTAAACCGGGGCTTTCAAACATTAGAGAATGGCTGCTTTTTTATTAAACGCCATTCATAGACTGTTTTGAGGGATGTAAACAAAAACAACGGTCCCAACGTATCTCCTGTTTTACATTTCTAATTTCTATAGCTTCCGAGATCACAAAAAAGCCACATATTGATGGCTGTTTCAACATTGAGTTATATTTGAATTGCCTCTTGTTACAGTTATGAATTAGTTTGATAATGAGCAGGAAATGTTCATGGGCCAATGACATGACCACTTTGAATTGGTCTATATAACTTTTTCTTATAAAGGGCCAATGCCAGAACTAGATTGAGAGCTGTGGGCTGAAGGTAAATATACTAAACTGTGTTACATTAAAGTTTCCATGTGTAATTTCCCAATTAATTTACTTATATTTAAAAATAGCTACAAAGCTTACATTAACTAATGCAGTATATTTGGAAAAAAATAATGATGAGGTTATTACAATCCTGTTAATAACACAATGAAGTTCAATGTTAAATACACTAAGCTGCACCTGCCTTTGCCTTGATTTGCTCGCCGATGTCTTGTGCATTGCCTTCTATCTGTCGAATGACATGAGATTCATTTACAAAACAAAAGAAATCACAAAGCAAACAAACAAAATGTTACATTTAATTTACAAATGATCTCTGTCAAAGATTTTCGCTCCAACCACCATCCCATCATTCTCCTTCTCTTCTCAAATAGGATAGTGCGCCGAATCAAAGGTTAGCATGGGCCAACTTTGGCTCACAGGCCCTAGTTTGGGCATCTCTGGTCTATATGATAATATATAATTTAAACGATTAATATAAGTATGACTATGGATGTTTCCCAGTGATGGGTTGCAGCTGGAAGGGCATCCGCTGCGTAAATATGCTGGATAAGTTAGCGGTTCGTTCCACTGTGGTGACCCTAGATTAATAAAGGGACTAAGCCGAAAAGAAAATGAATGAATGAATGGAATAAATATTAACAGGGCGTCATGGTGGCGCAGTGATAGCACAATCGCCATACAGCAAGAAGGTCGCTGGTTCAAGCCCCGGCTGGGTGAGTTGGAATTTCTGTGTGGAGTTTGCATGTTCTTCCCGTGTTTGTGTGGGTTTCCTCTGGGTGCTCCGGTTTCCCCCAGAAGTCCAAAAACATGTGGTATAGGTCAATTGGGTAGGTTAAATTGTCCGTAGTGTGTGTGTCTGAATGAGTGTGTATGGATGTTTCCCAGTGAAGGGCATCCACTGCGTAAAACATATGCTGAATAAGTTGGTGGTTCAATCCGCTGTGGCGACTCCAGATTAATAAAGGGACTAAGCCAAAATGAAAATTAATGAATAAATCTTTGTCAACGATTTTCGCCCCAACCACCTCCTGATCATTCTCCTTCTCAAATGGGATAGTGGGCCAAATCAAAGGTTAGCATGGGCCGCAAGCCCTAGTTTGGGTATCTCTGGTCTACATGATATATTTAAACTACTAAAATAAATATGGACATTACATAAATAAACAATCAATTAATTATTTCATGTAACTATAAAATAGAAAATGTATTTTTCTGAAAATTGTTCTGAATAAATAACGTGTTTCTACAAGAAACTGAACTGATGCCTTTTAAATGTCATATTTCAGGGCCTGTGGGATCTAAAAGAATGAAAAGCATTTACATTTGTTGTATTTACTGTTCTGTACTAGTATAAAATGCAAAAGTGTAACCTAATAAAGTCAAATCTTTCCTAAATATTGTTAATATATTAGTAATGGGCTGCACAGTGGCACAGTGTAGCATGTTCACCTTACAACAAAAAGGTCACTTGTTTGAGCCCGGCTGGGTCAGATGGCATTTCTGTGTGGAGTTTGCATGTTCTCCCAGTGTTGGCGTGGGTTTCCTCGGGTGCTTCGCTTTACCCCACAAGTCCAAAGACATGTGGTATAGGTGAACTGGGTAGGCTAAAAATGTCCATAGTGTATGTGTGTGGATGAGTGTGTATGGATGCATCTGGAAGGGCATCCGCTGCATAAAACATGCTGGATAAGTTGGCGGTTCATTCCGCTGTAGCTGTATTATTCTGTAGAGAATAATAAAGGGACTATAAGTTTTCGACTTAATAAATGAATGAATATAATGGTAATATTTTTTACTTCACAGAACAAATAGGGTATTCACACAAAAACTATATAAATGCATTTAAAATTTTCAAATTTGAGGATCTATGGCCGATTGAAAAGACCTGAATTAGGCAAATAGACAAGAATAAAAAAGATATTACATTATCCGAAAAATTATATAAAATATATGTATGTTTGCATATACTATTAATTCTATTAATATTTAAATTATTCTATTTCCTTCAGATATTTGGTTTATCATGCTGTTAAGCGCTGGCTTATTCATTGCCTATTATTAAGTTATTAACTGTTCATCAGTAGTTTGATATTATTCTGCACTCCTAACTCTACCCTAAACCTAAAACCAACTTCTACCTTACAAGCTATTAATAAACAGATGATAAGTTGTTTAATAAGCTAGGAGTGTTAGTCAATGGTTTGTTAATACTGTGAGTTGTGAACTAAACTAAAGTGTTACTAAATTCATTCATTCACTTCCTTTCACCTTTCGCCAACTATTCCAGCATATGTTTTACGCAGCGGATGTCCTTCCAGCTGCAGCCCAATACTGGGAAACACCCATACACTCTTGCATTGACACACACACACACTCATACACTATGGGATCATTTAGTTAATCCAATTCACATATACAGCATGTCTTTAGACTGTGGGGGAAACTGGAACACCTGGAGGAAACCCATGCAAACATGGGGAGAACATGCAAACTCCACACTGAAATGCCAACTGACCCAGCTGGGACTTAAACCAGCGATCATCTTGCTGTGATGTGACAGTGCTAACCACTGAGCCACCATGCTGCCACCTATTAAAATAAATAAAGGACATTTGTCAATTTAATTAATTATATTTTAAGTATTTTGTAACATAATGTGATGATATATAAGCTAAATATTTTCCAAATAATATTTTCGACATGCACTCAAAAAAATAATGTTTGTTTAAACTGCTTATTGAAAATGGGTTGAAACTACACAATTATTAAGTTTTTTTTTGTGGGAAAAACTGATTGTTTTATGTTCAATCCTGTTAAATTTGTAAACATTAATAAGTTAACTTAATTCCTTTATGTTGTCCTGACACAAATCTATTGTGTGGAACCCAGCATTTTTTACAGTGTATAACCAATATTCTTTTCACAGTATAATTAAGTTCTGTGGCATCTACAAGAGTGAACCCCCTATATTAGACATATGAAAGCATTTGGTGAGGGGAATAACAACATTTGCATTCAAATATGCATTGTTGCCAACTGTTTCATAATACAATAAATTATAATAGCTGTTCTTTGCATGCTCTAGTTTTGCACGTAATGATTTGTTCAATTCATTGCGTAGAAACATCACTGGATGGCAGCACTGAGCAACATGCTCTCTTTGATTCACCCAGTCAAACAAGCACAGCATATAAATGTAAGATTTGATGCATTAAATAAATAACCTGCTGTTTTCTTGTTTAATAATGTCTGTCTTCTGTCGCTGCTATGAATCTAGGCGGCGTGAAATGATGCAGATGACGTTGACTGAGCACAGGTCTAAAGGCTGAGGATGATTCTCTCTGACTGAGCGTTTGGAGTGTGTCTGGCGGACCTGTCAACAGGACTGTCAGCGTGAAACCTCCGGTAATCAGCTCACGCTGCACCTTGCGTCCTGTTTTCTCCACATGACAGTGAAATAGGGAACGCCTGAGTGAGCTTATAACCTGTGCACAATCACACTTTGACAGCGACAGAGCACAAAGCAACACAACAGTTCACCACCACTTACTTCATGCATGCACAGGAATGTATTTTACACGCATTCCCACATAAACAAATACTATGTATGCTAAAATACTAAATATTATAGTGTTTCTAAATCATGTGAAGTATGTGAATTAATCGGTAGTGATGATTCTATAGTTGCTTTGTTAATAAAACAGCTGCAATATATTAATATGTGACCTTGGACCACAAAACCAGTATGCTGCATGGGTATATTTGTATTTATTTTTGGTACAAGAAAAAAATCAATCATGTTGATCCATACAATAGAATATTTGCTGCACAAATTATTTAGTTTTTTCTCTTACCAATTATTATTTATTTTTTGTGGCCTATAGGGTCACTTATTAATATACAAGTCAAAAGGATTGATTTTGATCACACTTTATTTTGATGGTCCGTTTGTTGAATTTAAGTTACATTGCATCTACATGCAACCAATTCTCATTAGATCCTAAGTAGACTGTTAGGTTGGGGTTAGGGTTAGTGCAAGTTGACATGTACTTGCAAAGTTTCTTATAG